ATCATGATCATTCTTATCCTCTGTGGGTCTGACCAGATTAATCTCTAGCCCATAGCCAAGCCTATCTTGGCTTGGTTATGCAGTCTACAACATGCCAGGACTCAATTGCATTTGTGACATACAAATATGTGCCAGCAAACTGTTTTAGGCACAGGAATGACATTTTCAGAAGTTTCTTTACTTGTCCGGATCTTTTGTGGGTAACATGGTTATCCTCTGGGTTTGAATATATAATAATAATAGGAAAAATAATATGTGCTTACACCCTTTCAACAATGAACAGTATTTGTAGGAGAAACTATATTTGATAAGATCATAGATATTGAATTATGCAAGTTAAACGTTGTCACTCTCCTTACAGCCAGACCTCGTCAGAATGTAAGAGTCATGACATGCTGTTGAGTACTGTGCCACAATGTCTGAAAAATAGCTCAACATCTTAATGGATGTGTTGTAATAAAAATCTCTCTCTTCTCCCTTCAGGCCAGGGAGCTCCAGGCAATTGAATAATACAGTAAGGGCAGAAAAACCAGTTAATATGGTTGGGACTGGGCTGGTTAACATTATGGAACTCCAAATCATCTCTGGTGTAGATAAAGAATACGAGAGGGCCCTCAAGGTGGTGTCTTAGATAATTGTTTAAAGACCCCCTTTTCAGGAGCAAATTGAACACTGAGCGATACCACTGTGTACAGGCCCTGAACAGTTGACCTTTGAACCTGAGTGTTTAAATTGACTTTTTTAGAGTCACTAGAATATATTGTCAAACTCATAAGTAAAACCAAGTTTGTGCATATATCAGTGTTCTGTGTGCATATATCAATGGTCCCCTCTCTGCTCCCTTTCGTTTTGAGTCTGAAGGGAAATAGTCAGGAAGCATTTTGCTGCAGTACAAACCAGCCATGTGTGTTCCCAAGTGAAAGAAATGCTTGTGGCTGCTTTTTGCTAAATGACTGAGCTAATGATGAAATGCAGCTGGTGTGAGCTAACCTTCTGACTGCAGGCACTTTGCAGGCGCAACTTTTGAGTCAAACCCTTGTCCTGAGAGAACCTAGACCCAGTAGCTCTCAGATGAAGAGGACACCTCCATGGGTGTTCTATCTTGGCTATCTACTCAAATGCATCCTACTTGGCAGGTGTGGCTTTTCACACCTGTATGACTTGCGCCCCATCTGTGCCTGTTTTTATTTTATTTTTGTTTGTTTAACATGTTTACAGAAACTTTCATAAATAAACTATTTTAAACTGAAGCATGTAAGACTCATTCTCACTGATATAGGAACATACTTTCTTGCAGAGATGGCATTATATTAATGAGCGTGAGAAAAAGTCCACTTTGACAAATATTTTAAGGTTTAACTTTCAAAGTCTGACACAGAGACAAAATACACCGATCTTAACGGGAAATGACATAAAATTTCAGAAACACCTAGAAGACTATTTCAGCATAACTATGCAATATTGTTATATATATTTTTATGTCCCTTTAAAAGTGTGGTAAAAGCTGAGAATGGAGTCAATTCAAATTATGTTTAAAAAAAAGTGAAAATTTTGCAAATTTTACAATAACAATGAAGTGTTGGTTGCAAATTGTAATTATTTTTCAGTTTCTTCAAAGAAACAGCATATTTTTTATTTGAAAGAATGATCTTCTGTCTGAATTAACACATTTCTTTTAGGGATTTATTTCATCCCGTTGTACAGGTAGTCCTCAACTTACAACAGTTCATTTAGTGACTGTTCAAAGTTACACCACCACTGAAAAAAGTGACTTGTGACCTTTTTCACACTTATGACCATTGCAGCATCCCCATAGTCACATGATCAAAATGCAGGTGTTTGGCAACTGACTCATATTTATGACGGTTACAGTGTCCCAGAGTCAAAGATCATCTTCTGAGAACTTCTGACCAGCAAAGTCAATGGGGAGAAAAGCTAGGTTCATTTAATAGACGTGTCACTAACCACTGCAATGATTCACTTAACAACTGTGGCAAGAAAAGTCATAAAATGGGGCAAAACTCACTTAACAAATGTCTTTCTTAGTAACATAAATTTGGGTCTCAATTGTGGTCAGAAGCAGAGGACTACCTGTATTTCTTTACTATGGTGACTTTTAAAAAAACAAAAACGAAGCATACAGTTGCAAGCCATTTAGCACCTAGCAATGCTATCAGAACTGCTGTTGGAGTTTCTACTCAGCCAAAGTATCCAGATCCTTTTTTCATATTATCTGGAAGCCTATTCACTTGCCCCATTCCAATTTAAGTTCCAGCTATTCTTATCTACAATTGGAAAGGTTCATAATACACCCACTGAATGAAAGAAATTGTTGGACAAGGGAAAATAATTTGAGAACAGAAGCTGTAAGATCAACAAAAAATAAATGCAAATGCGATAATGTGTGGCTGCAATACGTGAATGTATTACAAAATATTTGCAAACTTTTATTATAGTCAAATCTATTGCTTTGGTCAGGCTTTCAGTAAAGTCTTGCAAAATCAGTAGCATGGTTCTCATAATTTTGCAATGATTATATCCATGCTTTTTCAAGTGCCTGTCAAAGCCTCTTCATTGTTTTCCTGTAGCTCTCATTATCTGAATAGTTATAGGTTTATGGCTGTCTGTTTAGTTCTAAAAACAATGAATTGTTTTGTGGCATTTACAGATAATTTACAGACTAAGTGATAAATAATTTCAGTTTTCAAAATAATTCTAACTTGATCCCTAAAGTATTTTATGGATCGCTGATAGGGCTGGAGAGACATAACATGAAATCTTCTTGAAGTTCTTGGTGGTGGATATGCCAGCATACCCAAATCTTTTAAATAAAGTCAGTAGATAATATATTTTACTTCATATCCAAGGGCTTATCCTAATTTGAAAAAAAAACACAGTTTGGATTACTGCTAAATTGATTGCAAATATATCTTTTCATCTTGTTTGAAGGAGGTAAATAAAAAGTACAAGATGTAGATACTGGCATGGTATTTGCTAATGGTTTTATCAATGTTATAATAACATTGACAGAACTATCAACAACTTAAGAGTCTCCTTTTCCAGAGCAGTTATCCAGTGCTAAGAAAATTAACTTCATTATATTATTGTTGACTTGATCCAGTTAGTCCTATGGGCATAAGGACTATAATGCACACACCAAACTCAAGTAGCACAAGATCTTCCCTATTCATTTCAGTAGTTAGGCATAGTTAAATACCATTGATATTATATGCAAAAATGCTCACAGACTACTTCCAACCATTGGAGGGAAGTAAGTAATATTCACATATACAGGCACTGCCATGTGCACCTTGCATATTCATAAGATCCTAGACTGGGATGCATTTCTGCACTTAACTAGAAATGGTACATTCAGATCTATTTTCCTTATCCTACTCTAATCCAAATGTTTTGGGAGTGAATGCAAACATTGGGAACACTATGATAATTCCTGTACGTTGCACAGGTGAAACAGTCATTAAAAAATTAAAATAACTGTTTTAGGCATTAAGGTGCCATTTTTTCTTTCCCATAAAGTAATTTATAGTGCAGTTATTCTAATTTTCATTGAAAAAAGAAAAGAAAAAGAAAGAAAAGTCAAAAAATTCACCTTTTTAATTCATTTTGCTAATGAGGTAAAAGAATTTTGATAAGCTATAAAGTTTTTTCTAGCTGTTATTCAATTTTTTTATGTATACATATTTTCTGTGTATACAAGTCCTAGTTTGAGTTGTGTGTTAATTTTATTACCATTTCCTAGATTTTTTTCAAAATGGATGTCCATAAGTGGTGCTTGTAATTTAATCAGACTGTAAATGTTAATATAAAAGGTATTGCAAAGAAAAATATTATTAGTATAGGTTGAATCCTAGTCTGTAAAGAGGCTTGGTTTTATTATTAGTGTAAAGGAATGGTTTCACACAACTGTAATGCTATATTTCAACTGCAGTCTAATTCTTGATTTAAGCATTTCTCTTGTATCTTTAAAAATAACTCTCACAGCAGTTCCCTTTGTTTTGATATATGGTTATAATTAGGTGTACCGTGACAATACTACAAGATCCAAATTTACCATATTGCAAAAAAAGGTAGATAAAATGTATGCGCTTGAGATCTATTTTGTATTTAAAACTGAAGGCCAATCAATATTCACAATTTTGTCTACTATAGTCTCTTCTTTTCTCCAGCCCAGATCAGTTTTTCCATCTTTTGTCCATTATGAAGTCATCATACCATGACTGCTGTCATGGTCTCAAATTTATAATTTGATAGAACTCAGCACACACACTAAAGATTTGTGGTCAGATTCAGTAATTGAATCTGATTCTACAGTTATTTCTGCATGACTGCTCCTGATGGACAAATGCACAGTTGTATTTCAGGCTGAAATAAAATGGTTCATAAATAGCAGTATGGTTATGAGAATTCGTTGTGAGAGATTAATTGTCAGGCTCATAGGAAAATTCTCATTGAAGCTTTCAAAGCTGCCTCATTGGACCTAAAATAAAATCATTTTAATATTAAGAATATTGATGCTTACTATAAAAGTGCCGAATAGCCTAACATCTGTATTTGATAGTAAAGCAATAATATATGGGGCACTCAAAATGACTACTTTTGTTTAAAAATTCAGTAACATTCTCATGACTACTGTGTGGAACAGCTCTCTGCAGATATATTATTTCTAAAGGTTTTCTTTCCATTTCTATATAGATATTTTCCCTTCACATTTTGAAGGTTTGAAGAAGAGGATTGTTTTTCAAGTCACACTAAGTAAACATTAAATGCATGCAGGCTTAAAACTAAAGCATGCATGTTACGCAGCAGCAATAAAATTGCTCGGCTTGCACGACTTACAATGTTCAAGCATTGCCTTGTTAAAATGCCAAAATCCCCTTTTTCTTTGCATCTTTAAAAAAGTTAAATTATATTTTACATCGCAACATTTAATTTTTTTAGTCTTTGGACAAGTTATTTTAGCATATATTTCTGTATTACAGATAAAGCTGACGAAATAGTGCCAGTTTCCAAGCCATCAAGAATTCCAGAAAATGCAGTTGTGGACTCCAGAGTGGCAACAATTAAACAACGACCTTCTAGTAGATGTTTTCCCTCAGCTACTGATATGAATGTGAGTGGTATCTGTAATAAATTTTCTTTAAATTAGGGGGGCTTTGATTAAGTAGGGATTTTTTCCAAATTCCTAATAGGAAAAAATGCTCTGATTTTAATTATTCTCAGGATTCTGTAATGGGTTCACAACCTCTGGTGATCACAGAAAAAGAAGTGCAAGATCTATTTCACAGACAAAAGCCAGGAAAAGCACCAGGGCCAGACAAGATAACTCCTTCTTGCTTCAAAGTCTGTGCTGACCAATTGTCCCCCATCTTCACCCGAATCTTCAATAGATCACTAGAGATGTGCTATGTTCCTTCCTGCTTCAAATGCTCTACTATCATCCCAGTGCCAAAGAAACCCTCCATCAAGGAACTGAATGACTACAGAGCAATTGCTCTAACATCTGTAGTTATGAAAATCTTTGAAAGGCTAGTGCTGTCCCACCTGAAAACCATCACGGATCCGCTGTTAGATCCCATGCAGTTTGCATACCGAGCAAATAGATCGACAGATGTTGCTGTTAATATGGCTCTGCATTACATCCTACAACACCTTGAATCTCCAAATACCTAAGCAAGGGTCCTCTTTGTAGACTTCAGTTCAGCAATCAATACCATCATTCCAGACATTCTTCTAACTAAATTAAAAC